GGTTCTGGAACCTTCCAGGGGGTTCTGGAACCTTCCAGAGGGTTCTGGAACCTTCCAGGGGGTTCTGGAACCTTCCAGAGGGTTCTGGAACCTTCCAGGGGGTTCCATGGAGGTTCCATGGGGGTTCTGGAACATTCCATGGGGTTCTATGGGGGTTCTGGAACCTTCCAGGGGGGTTCTGGAACCTTCTATGGAGGTTCTAGAACTTTCTATGGGGGTTCTGGAACCTTCCACGGGGTTCCATGGAGGTTCTAGGGGGGTTCTGGAACCTTCCATGGAGCTTCTAGAACTTTCTATGGGGGTTCTGGAACCTTCCATGGGGTTCTATTGGGTTTCTATGGGGGTTCTGGAACCTTCCAGGGGGTTCTATTGGGTTTCTATGGGGGTTCTGGAACCTTCCATGGGGTTCTATGGAGGTTCTAGGGGGGTTCTGAAACCTTCCATGGAGCTTCTAGAACTTTCTATGGGGGTTCTGGAACCTTCCATGGGGTTCTATTGCGTTTCTATGGGGGTTCTGGAACCTTCCAGGGGGTTCTATTGGGTTTCTATGGGGGTTCTGGAACCTTCCATGGGGTTCTATTGCGTTTCTATGGGGGTTCTGGAACCTTCCATGGGGGTTCTATTGGATTCCATCGGGTTCTATGGAGGTTCTGGAACATTCCATGGGGTTCTGGAAGGTTCCATGGAGCTTCTAGAACTTTCTATGGAGGTTGTGGAACATTCCATGGGGTTCTACGGGGGTTCTGGGACCTTCTCTGGGGGTTCTGCAACCTTCCGTGTGGTTCTGGAGCTTTCCATGGGGTTCCAGAACCTTGCAGGAGGGTTCTTTGGAGGTTCTGGAAGCTTCCATGGGGTTCTGGAACCTTCCACGAGGGTTCCATGGAGGTTCTGGAAGGTTCCATGGGGTTCTATGGGGGTTCTGGAACCTTCCACGGGCTTCTGGTACCTTCCATGGAGGTTCTCTGGGCGTTCTGGAACCTTCTATTGGGTTCTATGGGGGTTTTTTAGGGGTTCTGGAAGGTTCTATGGAGGTTCTGGAACCTTCCATGAAGGTCCTGCTGGATTCCGTTGGGTTCTATGGGGCTTCTGGAAGGTTCCATGGGTTCCTAGGAAGTTCTACGGGGTTTCTGGAAGAGTCCACAGGTTTTTTGCGGCATTCTAGAAGGTTCTACAGGGTTCTAGAAGGCCCTACTGGGTTCTAGAACGTTCTAGACGGCTCCAGAACGTTCTAGAAGGTTCTAGAACGTTCTCGAGGTTCTAGACTGTTCTAGAACGTTCTAGAGGTTCTACTAGAGAGTTCTATTGGGTTCTGGAAGGTTCTCTGGGTTTCCATGGAGTTCTCCGGGTTTCTAGAAGGCCCCATGGGGGTTATATGGGATTCTAGAAGGATCTCTGGGGTTTCCAGAAGGTTCTCTGGGGTTCGCCGGGGGTTTCCAGAAGGTTCTATGGTGTTCCCTGGGGGCTTCTAGAAGGTTCTGTGGGGTTCCGTGGAGTTCTATGGGTTTTCCAGAAGGTTTTATGGGTTTTTATGGGTTTCTAGAAGGTTCTCCGGGGGTTTCTAGAAGGTTCCATGGGGTTCTAGAAGGTTCTCCGGGGGTTCCTAGAAGGTTCTATGGGGATTTCTAGAAGATCCCATGGGTTTCTAGAAGGTTCCATGGGGTTCTACAAGGTGCTATGGGCTTCTATGGGGTTCTAGAAGGTTCCATGGGGTTCTGTGGGGTCCTGGAAAGTTCCATGGGGTTCGATGGGGTTCTAGAAGGTTCCATGGGGTTCTGTTCTCTGGGTTTCTGGAAGGTGCCATGGGGTTCTATGGGTTTCTAGAAGGTTCCAAGGGGTTCTCTGGGTTTCTGGAAGGTTCTATGAGATTTCTAGAAGGTTCTATGGGGTTTTTATGGGTTTCCAGAAGATTCCATGGGGTTCGATGGGGTTCTGGAAGGTTCCACGGGGTTCTGTTCTCTGGGTTTCTGGAAGGTTCTATGAGTTTCTATGGATTTCTAGAAGGTTCTCTGGGTTTCTGGAAGGTTCCATGGGGTTATATCGGGTTCTATGAGGTTCTCTGGGTTTCTGGAAGGTTCTATGAGATTTCGGGAAGGTTCTATTGGGTTTTTATGGGTTTCTAGAAGATTCCATGGGGTTCTGGAAGGTTCCATGGGGTTCTATGGGGTTCTGGAAAGTTCTATGAGATTTCTAGAAGGTTCTATGATGTTTTTATGGGTTTCTAGAAGATTCCATGGGGTTCTGTGGTGTCCTGGAAGGTTCCATGGGGTTCTCTGGGTTTCTGGAAGGTTCCATGGATTTCTAGAAGGTTCCATGGGGTTCTCTGGGGTTCTAGAAGGTTCCATGGATTTCTAGAAGGTTCTATTGGGTTTTTATGGGTTTCTAGAAGATTCCATGGGGTTCTGGAAGGTTCCAAGGGGTTCTCTGGGTTTCCGGAAGGTTCTATGAGTTTCTATGGATTTCTAGAAGGTTCTCTGGGTTTCTGGAAGGTTCCATGGGGTTCTGGAAGGTGCCATGGGCTTCTATGGGGTTCTAGAAGGTTCCATGGATTTCTAGAAGGTTCTATTGGGTTTTTATGGGTTTCTAGAAGATTCCATGGGGTTCTGGAAGGTTCCAAGGGGTTCTCTGGGTTTCCGGAAGGTTCTGGGGTTGTTCCTCACCCTGAGCCTCGCGGCGGGCGCGGCGCCGGTCCCCGGGCAGGGCGTTTCCGGCGGCGAGGAACGCGGCCCCGCCCAGGGCGGCGGCGAAGGGCAGCAGCAGCAGCGCCCTCAGCAGAGCCCCCGCCCCCCGCTGGTACGAAACGGCCGCCGCCCCTCCCCCCAGCGCGTCGCTCACCTGCGGGGGAGGGGACAGAGCTGTGGGACCAGTACGGGACCAGTGATCCCAGTTTGGGACCAGTGATCCCAGTATGGGACCAGTGATCCCAGTTTGGGACTGGTGATCCCAGTTTGGGACTGGTGATCCTCCCAGTGATCCCAGTATGGGACCAGTGATCCCAGTACGGGACCGGTGATCCCAGTTTGGGACCAGTGATCCCAGTATGGGACTGGTGATCCCAGTATGGGACCAGTGATCCCAGTATGGGACCGGTGATCCCAGTATGGGACTGGTGATCCTCCCAGTGATCCCAGTATGGGACCAGTGATCCCAGTTTGGGACCGGTGATCCCAGTTTGGGACTGGTGATCCCAGTTTGGGACCAGTGATCCCAGTATGGGACTGGTGATCCCAGTTTGGGACCAGTGATC